GACAGAAAAGCATACTTAATCAGAAGCCACCAACATGACAGCTGGATTTGCAACTGTTAAGATAAATGGAAACCCTGTGTAGATTTCAAAAAAGGAAACATAATACACTGGACTTTCAAACTGCTTGGCCTCATCTTTGGTACAAGATGTTAATATGAAGATAAAATTTCCTAAAACAAGTAAAATGGGTGTAAATGTTACAAGTAGACAGGCTATAAGTTTTTCAGTCAGAACTTTTTTTCACTGAAAAATACATTCTCGGCCAGCTGAAACATTTTGACAAAATGTTTGAGTGGAGAAAACCCTAAATATTAACCAAAAAAAAGTGTTTGAATGAAAACATTTAGATTTCTCGCTTCAAAATTACTTTTTACTGTGAAATTTGCTTCAGTTTATTTAATATATTTTGAAAAAGTAAAAGCTCAAAATTTAAATGAAATGTTTCATTACAGTGTAGATGAAATGTTTCGACAATCAAAATACAAAATGTTTGACTCTAAACAAAATATTTTCAGCTTTTTGGTGCAGTGAAATTTTTTTGTTTGAGTCAATGTGAAACGAGGTGTATCGTAGTTCGGAATAGGCACCCTAGTCCGAACTACCTAGTTCGAGCCCAGTGTAGCCGCGCTGCACGGGGTTCGAAGCAGCGGGGATTTAAAAATGGCGGCTCCCCGCTTATGCTAATGAAGCCCGGGAAATTCAAATCCCGGGCTTCATTAGCAAGTGCGGTATGCATACATTACCCTCCTAGTTCGAACTAGGAGGGTAGTGTAGACATACCCTCAGTTATCTGGACAGTTCTAATTATAATCTCCCAACAGAGAAGTTAAAATATAGTTTACGGCAGTCACTTTTCACCATCTACAGCTCTATGTGTTTCAAGATGTTTCGTTACTTTGTTACTTCCCTCCTTAACTTGTATGTAAATTTCAAGCTCTCAGCAGGCTGCTCCTAACAGTAACATTTGATTACCTGCATTGGTCTTACAGGTGCATGTTAAGGAATATTAAGCAAAGACTCCAGTTGCGGGTATGCACCATTTGAACAAAATGCAGTTTTCAGTTCCACTTCAACACTACAGGACGTCCACTAGGAAAGCCCTGTTATCAACTAATGGGGCCCAGAGAGGATAGATTTGAAGCTAAATATTTCCTGCCGGGGTATGAATCCATCTTAAAATGGGCAAATGCACTGCTGAGGGAGTTCAATATTCCTGTCAGCCTTTGTCTGAGGAAAATATAGCACAGGGCCAGATCCTCAACTGCTGTAAATTGGTGCAGAACCACTGAAGTCAGCAGGACAAGGCTGATTTACACCAGCTCAGGGAGAGGCTCACAGTGACTAAGGCCCATTGGCTGCCAGATAAGTTAGGTTAAAAATATTTTGAAAGGCAACTTTGGATTCACAAAGGAATTTGCTTCTAGACGGTCTGGTTTTAACTCTAATTTTTGGCTGTGTTGGCCTATATTTAAGGACAAGTAAACTGGGTGTAAATGTTACAAGTAGACAGGCTACAAGTTTTTCACAGGCCAGCTGTGATTTTCTGAAGTAATAATGGCAAATCCCAGAGAAACTGGTATTGTCATCATTCTGTGCTTGGTTTTCTCACTCCCACCTCATACCATCCTCTACATCCAACCCTGCCTATCATTGTCTTTCTTCCTTTGTCCACTAACATATATTAACCAAATGTGGGATGCTGAGTTTCTGAAAAAAACTTTCAGTATTCATAGTTGTATTATTCCACATTGAATAAACTAAATGGCCAGTTTATTCTCCAAGAAACCTGATGGTGAAATCTACATCCTTTCAGAGCACATCATCGTGCATTACAATAGATGCATAATGAGTCTTGAGAAAAAAATATGGCCCAATCTGTCATTGTGCTGATAATCTCTTGTGAGATGCTTAATCCCCAGTTTAGGGATGTAATAGGTTAACTGGTAAATCTCACCCTTAACCTGTCCAGGCTCTGCAGTATTTAAGCTTTATACTGAAGAGCCCACTGCAGTGTATGTAACCTTGTACAGGCCATCCTCGCTATAAGTCCAAGATATGTTCCAAAAACCTAGGATTTATAGCAAAATAACTTAAAGCGGGGAATTATTTTCCCTGTGGCTGACTTCCACAGGTGCAAACTGTGTTTGGGTTTTTTTTTGGTGTGACTTAAGAGCAGGGCACAGAATAACTTATAATGCATCAGTTCCTACAAGCATCAACAACATTAGTATGGAATCAATGTATACCTAAGTGACTTATAGCGGGGACACCTTATGACTGTTATAATTCTTTGCAATTACACGGTTACATTTTTAACTGCATTTTTACATCCCTAATGCCCAATTAAACCAGAGGAGTACTAGAGTTGGACCTGTAGTTATCAGAAGTTGAGGGTACTCAGCATCTTTCCTGATTATGGCCTCTATCTCTAAGATGTCCACTCTGTAGATTTACTAATTTTAAGATCTAGTTTTATCTCCCACATACCACAGATGATTGATTTTTACCCCATAATTCATACATCAAGCCCAACAGCTATGATGGTATCCTTTACAAAGGGACCCAATCTTGTATTATTTTAGAAAGCCAGGCAATATTGTATAGGAAAAGAACAAACTATTAATTCTCCATAAGATATATGAAAAACAGAAGTAAAAAATATATAAACAGGTCCAAATCCGTTCCACCCCAAACTTTTCAAATCTTCAAAAATCACATCTGAACTTTTTGTCTTGAGACAATCATTTCTGGTATTAATGATGTGTTGGCAGGTTAAATGAGTGAAAAAAGTAGGCTGTTTTTATTCTGAACTAGAGCAGTTCTGAGTACTGAGTGCAATGACCTGAAATAGCAAAGTCTTGAACTCTCAAAGTCACATGGTATCCTCAACTCAGAAGTGAAAGTTTGATTAGGATATATGTGCTGTCTGGCTTGAAGGGCTGTAGAAAGCACTCTGTTTATGAGCTGTGGGTTTTTTCTTACACATTTGGGGCCTGATCCTGTCATTTTACACTTGTCTGTCACTCACTTGTGTGAAAAGTAATATACATGCCCAAGGTTTGGAAGACCTAATCTATACTACTAAAAGATCAGTGGCAAAATAAACTGGATTTTGGTTCAGCATGTTTCTCTCATGAAGACATCATATGCATTGGATAATTTCTCTTGTGTAGGTATTTGTGCTTTATTTGTTACAATTTTATCTTTTTTCTTTCTTCTTCCAATTCATGCTTATGAGTGGGAGGCACTTCACTTGCAAAGCGATTTTCTTCCCATCACATGGAGGTTCACTTTCATTTTCTGGTTCACAACAAAATAAGACTCACAATATTCACTATCTCTGGATGCATTTCTCAAGTCTTTTTCCATTTTAATACATGTTTACTTGCTCTTCAAGCAAAGAAACTAGGAATGGCTAAGAAGTCAAGTGAACCTCAACTGGAGACAAGGAGACAGAGAAAGTATTAACAGATGAATGAGTTACACAGCACAAGCAAGGCTGCACATGAGTCTAATCCAGTGTCACTTTCTCACGGGCTACAGGAACACTTCAGGTGTGTCCACATTGCACCACAGATTGAAACAAGATACGCAATTTGAGCTTAACAAATTATGGATCTTATTTTGATTTTATTTTGAAATAGTTTATTTCAAAATTTGGCCCTTTCTACACAGTACTTATTTCAGAATAAATCACTATTCTGAAATGTCCCTTACTCCTCATGGAATGAAGTTTGCAGGGATGTCAGAATAGCGAGCCCATTATTTTTTGAAATAACGGATGCTCTCAAAAGATACAGAATAGCTATTTTGGGATACCTCCTGTATTCCAAAAAAGCTCTGCAGCATAGACATAACCTTTCAATCCCTCCACAGGATGGCTACACTGTGGCTGGGAGTGAACTGCCCAACCCAGGAAGACAGATTAGCAATGGCATTAATACACTAAACTTAGTTAATCAGGACACAGCACATAGGCCAGCAGAGGCTTGCACTACCCACATGAACTTAAACCCAGAAACTAAAATGGGCTTCTGCAGGGTGGAAAAAAACCCAGACCTGCACCAGTATTGCTATGTCTACATAGCTATTTCCAGCACGCTAGTGTGAGTTCTATTATAAGAAGACTGTCTATCTGGATAGGGAGGCTTGCTCTCAGCTGCAGTGTAGACAAACTCACTGAGGGACTGGAAGAGAGGGATGAAACAGGAGAAAGCAGCTACTAAGAAGGTTTGCAGTGGACTTTTTTTCCTGTCTTCTAGCCATTCAGTGACAAATTTTGCTGTCAGTTTCCCCAGTGTACCCCATTCATTGATTCAACCCCATTGAAATGAGAACAGAATTTAGCCCTTACATTATTACCTTGCTGGAATGGCATTAATCCCAGCAGAACTACTCTAGATTTACACCAAGGTGAGAGAACTGCAAGTGACACAGATACAAAGTCCTTAGATGAGAGTCTCCCCTGCATCAGAGTTTGTGCTAACTCTGCCCTGAAGCTGGCATAGCTAGCCAACACAGAGTCACCCTTCTGTGGACTAAATCACCTGTGAGAGAAGAGGCAAGGTGGAGGGGTGTGGTCGACGCTGGGCCCTGACAATCACTGATCTCTATGCATCTGACGAAGTGGGTTTTTGCCCACGAAAGCTTATGCTCCTACACTTCAGTTAGTCTATAAGGTGCCACAGGACTCTTCGTCGCTTTTGCAGATTCAGACTAACACGGCTACCCCTCTGATATTGATCTCTATGGCTCAGTATTTACTTTTGACAAACACCCTCCAAGATGCTGAATAGAGATTTGGGGTTTTCAATGTGTTTTAATAAGTCCAGTACACTGGTTTATACAATACAATGACAGTTCTTTGCTTTCTAGTGGAAGGACAATCAAAAGGGATTAAACTAGCCACACAGAGAACAGACTCCTGTAGGTCAGAGGATACTACTGGCAGCATTTCTTGCAGAGAGTGGTCTTCCATTAATTAAATGATAGGCTCTTACCTTAATTACATCTTCATCAGATGATCTACACTCCACTGATTCCAGAAGATCAGTCACTGTCCCATCAACCTCCACTGAAACCACCTTAACAGGGACAGCCACAGTTTTCCCAGTGAGAATCGCTGTGTTCAGGATCTCAGCTTCCTATAACATCAAACAACAAAACATTGGTTCAGATGTTCCTTCCTTGTCCCCATGTCTTCCATCAACCAGCAACTCTCCTTTTCTTGGTCCATCATTAAAACAATGAAATGTACGTTAATTTCCAGCTGATCTTCCAAGATTCTGGCACAGTGGACAGGACAATTATACAGTAAGCTGCACCAAGTGGAAGGTAATACTGAGGAGTGGGATCCTTCCCCAAGATTAAGGGATTGCCTTCAGACACATGTAATTAGGCATCTTGTTGCACTGATCTCCCCTTATAAAACTCAGTAGTTATGCTCAGAACTTTGCAGCAATGCAGCACTGTATGCTATTAGCCAGAGGTGGTATTTTAATGCATGGTTGGAGGAAAATGAGAGGTCTGTTTTTAAGGGTCCAGGTTGCTTCATGAAAGCACAGAATCATTCTCTTAGGGATGGCTGAGAAGAATCAAGGAACTCTAATCGTTAGAATACTGTGAGCCAGCAATATATGGAGAAGATGACAGTGCTGATTTGGATGTGTACTAGATCCCAGAATACCCTCTTCTGTAACCCTGTGTTGATTATTAATTATTGCTGTTATTTAGTATTTCTGCTATAGAAGTCCCAAATCCTACCTGAGATTGAGAACCATTGTACTAGGTGCTATACACATAATAAGAAAGAGTCTCAGACAACTTACATTTTAAACAAATGAAAGAAACAGAGAGACAAGGACATTCCTTATGTTATAGGCTAGTGAGCAGCAGAGCCAGGAATAGCATCACAGTCCAGTGCTCTAGCCACTCAACACAGCTGCCTCTCATGATGCTTCCAGAGTGTCTCTGATTCTGTACAGTGGATGTCCATTTGATTCTGATGCCAACCTCTCTTCTATCATCAGAGCTGTTGGGTACTTCCCCAGTTGACATTCAATGAATATCAGGTATTAGAGGATGACATCTAGAGGAGATTCCACATAGCATGGGCATGCATGTATCCAGTATTTAGCAATGGGTTCTTTAACTGAGAACCCGAGAAAAGATCTCCTAACAGCCATGTTGTTCACCTGAAAATACCATGATATCTTAACCTTTGTCTTTTTACCATTGGACTCCTGCTCCAGAAGATATCCTATAGCCAATGACAGTCTAGAACAACGTCAGAGAAAACACTACTTATGTAGTTAGAAGAAGGATGATACAGTGGTAAAGGCATTAGTTTAGGACCTAGAGGAAACTCAGGATCAAAGTCTTTCTGAATGACCTTAGGTAAGGTCCCTCACCAAAGGCTCTTGTGTAAATTACATTGCAATGGGATAAGAGGGAAGGTCCTTTCTTGGATTGAGAACTGGTTAAAATTCAGGAAACAAAGGGTAGGAATAAATGGTAAATTTTGAGAATGGAGAGGGGTAACTAGTGGTGTCTCCCTAGAGTCAGTCCTGGGATCAATCCTGTTCAACTTATTCATAAATGATCTGGAGAAAGGGGTAAGCAGCGAGGTGGTAAAGTTTGCAGATGATACCAAACTGTTTAGGATAGTCAAGACAGAAGCAGACTGTGAGGGACTCCAAAAAGATCTCACCAAACTGAGTGATTGGGCAACAAAATGGCAAATGAAATTTAATGTGGATAAGTGTAAAGTAATGCACATTGGGAAAAATAACCCCAACTATACGTACAGTATGATGGGGGCTAATTTGGCTATGATAAATCAGGAAAGAGATCTTGGAGTTATTGTGGATAGTTCCCTGAAAACTTCCACACAGTGTGCAGCGGCGGTCAAAAAGGCAAATAGGATGCTAGGAATTATTAATAGAAATGTAGACATGTTAGTCTGGTGTAGCTGAAACAAAGAACAGGACTATGTAGCACTTTAAAGACTAACAAGATGGATGGTTTATTAGGTGATGAGCTTTCGTGGGCCAGACCCACTTCCTCAGATCAAATAGTGAAAGAAAACTGGCATGACCATATATACCAAAGGATACAATCAAAAAAATGAACACATATGAAAAGGACAAATCAAATTTCAGAACAGAAGGGGGATGAGGGGAAGAGGTAAATGTCTGTGAGCTAATGATATTAGAGGTGATAATTGGGGAAGCTATCTTTGTAATGGGTAAGGTAATTAATGTAACGGGTAAGGTAATTATTAAGAAAGGGATAGAAAATAAGACAGAATATCTTACTGCTCCTGTATAAAACTATGGTACGCCCACATCTTGAATACTGTGTACAGATGTAGTCTCCTCACCTCAAAAAGGATATTTTGGCCTTGGAAAGGGTTCAGAAAAGGGCTACAAAAATGATTAGGAGTTTGGAACGGATCCCATATGAAGAGAGGTTAAAACATCTGGGACTTTTCAGTTTAGAAAAGAGGAGACTGAGGGGGGATATTAGAGGTATATAAAATCATGGGTGGTGTGGAGAGGGCGGATAAAGAAAATTTATTTATTAGATCCCATAATAGAAGAACTAGAGGACACCAAATGAAGTTAATGGGTACTAGGTTTAAAACTAATAAAAGAAAATTCTTCTTCACACAGCGTGTAGTCAATCTGTGGAACTCCTTGCCAGAGGAGACTGTGAAGTCTAGGACTATAACAGAGTTTAAAGAGAAGCTAATAATTTCATGGAGGTTAGGTCCATAAAAGGCTATTAGCCAGGGGATAAAAATGGTGTTCTGGCCTCTGTTTGTCAGAGGCTGGGGAAGGATGGCAGGAGACAAATTGCTTGATCATTGTCTTTGGTCTACCCTCTCTGGGGCACTTGCTTGCAGGCCACTGTTGGCAGACAGGCTACTGGGCTAGATGGACCTTTTGTCTGACCCAGTATGGCCGTTCTTATGTAAGCCACTTAGCTGCTCTGTGCCTCAGTTCTCCATCTGTGAAATGGGGACAATAGCACTGCTATACCTCATTAGGGTGCTAAGAGGATAAGTACACTCAGATCTGTATGGTGCTCAGTTATTTTGTGGTAACTGGGACCATACGAGCACAGGGAGTGAGTCTGAGACTCCACTGCTCTGCATGTTTGTATTGTTGGTTATGCCATCACTGGCTGCGATGATTTAGTTGGGATTGGTCCTGGTTTGGGTTTGGGGGCTGGACTTGATGACCTCCTGAGGTCTCTTTCAGCCCTAGGATTCTATGATTCTATTCCAGAGTGTTTTGAAAACATTACAACTCAGATCTGAGATAAGCAACCACAAAAGATGGAAGGCAATAGAGATCCAATGTATCTTGTTTTTAGAATCTGGGATGGTGAATCTGGAAACCACTCTGACTCTGTCTCTGATTTGTCATATGACCTCTGGCAAGTGACTTTGCTTAGTTTCATCTCAGTCCCTTTGTCTGTAAAAAGAGACTAATATAGAGCTGCCATGTCTCAAGGAGTAAAGCTGTCTGAAAAGTGCTTTGACCTCTTTACATGAAGTGCATTATATAAGTGAATAGCATTACTATTGTATCACTATTGTCACATTATTCCAAAAGGAATATTACCCTTGGATGCATTACCTGCACATTTTAAGAACAGTAGTACAGATTATACAGCTATATTTTGATTCAGAAACACAGTACTAAACTGTTAGTTACCCTGGTGTAACTTCATTGTCTTCCCTACAGTTATCCTTGATTTACACTAAAAGAAACAGGGAGCACAATTTGGATCCTGCATTCTTCCATTCCTAATTACAAGGTACTACTCATTCCTGGAAAGGTCGTAAGCTTTTCAGAACCAGGTTTCTGTAGCAAGGAATATCCCTTAGAACAAGGGCTCCTTGATTTCAACTGCTTCTTATGAACTAAAGGCTTTGAAAGTGTTAAGTTCTCTATCTAAATAGCTCATGCTAAGGGTTCTGAGTCTGACTGATTTTACTTGTGGAAGGAAACAAAGCAATATTGAAACTAAGTAGTCAGAAGACAATGACTCCCCCTACTGTCTATTGGGGTAGAGCACCAATTTTTCTTATTTAAAATATGGGATCAAAAAAGAGCTCTTCACACTATTTAAAGGAACAGACACTTTATTCTGGTTCAAAGTAGTACCTAAAGATGGAAAAAATCCTAGTCCTTTGATAGCTCCCTTGTCAGAAACAGCCCCTGCAGCCCCATGATCTTTAAGGGAAGGAGGAAATAGAATTTTACAAAAAGAAAAGTAAAGAAGAAAGGCTTCTTCCCTCCCTCAGCCAGCCCCCAAACTCTTCAGATATTCTGATATTACAATTTACACAAAGGTAAATGACTCTGAGGACAGACAACCTGCAGTGTGAGGCCTGGCACCCAGTATCTTCAGGAGGTTTGCACTAAATTACCAGATTATTTATTTTTTTCCTTGTATTGAAGACACCACAGAGAATCTCCAGCCTACTATAATCATAAGGCTCTGTTTTGCAAACATTGCACCTAATATATAAGTGCTGTAGAGCCAAGAACCATAGGCCCTGACCCTGTAGTACCTTGTGCATGTGTTTCATTTCAACAGGATTATTCATGGTACTAAAGCTATGTTGGCAGCAACCATTAAGATGGCATTGATCTCTCTTCTCGGTGCCATATTTTGTAGGCCCTTGTTGGAATGCCGTATAGTAGTGATGGGAAACCTAGGCTAGTGAGTGCGTCACGTGAGTGGCCCTCCTTCCTTTCAATGGGCTGTAAAATTGTTGTAACCAACACCGTTTGCTGGGTAGAGTAATTTTGCTAACTGTGCTTGCATACTTAGAATTTGAGAAGCATGCTAAGTGAAACATAGCAACACTTAGACTGGATGCAGAGGAAGATCCTGGATTTTAGTCAATTTTACTTCATGGGCTCTTTCTTTATGTGTGTGTCACTTTAGTAAAACTGGTACAAACAAACCCAAAATGGAGGCTACCCTGTGTGTAAGCAATCGTACACAAAATGTCTTGTGGGCTGCACATAGAGCCTTCAGGCCACAGGTTGCCCACCACTGTCATATAGGAAAGGAGGACTTGTAATGCACTCTTGCAAACAATCTGACTGATGAGATATGTTGC